GCTGATCTTACTTGGCCTCTTCATCGCAGAGGAGAGACTTGTAATTGCAGCTGAAAATAGAGGACCCTGGGTTGGCAGCCTTTCTCAGGGACAGTGCCTCAGGGTAATGGAAAAGTAGTATCCCCAGAGTGGAGCCAACTGATACTGAGGACAATGAGCACTAAGCAGAGAAAAGGCATGAAGGGATAAAGAAACTGAAATACCAAGGGGGGAAATAATGAGAGAGCAGGTATTTGGAACCTAAGAGAGGATATATGGAAGAGTGAAACTGGGAAAAGGAAAATATTTCTAAAGCTTTATATTAATGATAAGTTTATACCTTTGCTATTCATGAGCCACTGTGGAAAGAACTAGAAAGTGTAGTGAGAAGTTAACGTGGCTGAATCACAAACTCTTCAGTCGTTTCTAACACGAAGGAGCTATATCATTGTGAAAATAAGGCCGAGTAGTAAGGAAGGCTCATACAAGCACCAGTTTGGAAATGAGGGACATAAAAGATGGTAGAAAGTGTTTTTGCAGCTTTCTTGAGTATGAAGAGGGCCCAGGAAAGAACTGACTGTCTTACCTTTTCATAGCTTTCCCTTCTCTGTAACGCTGAGAAAGCCAGTTGACAAAGTTGCTTGTGAAAGTGGCTAAACAGGAATACAGGGTATTACAGTTGCAGGAAATCATAAAAAATACAGTGCTCCAAATAGTTTACCCTGTTGAGGAATGTTCCAGAGGCATAGATAAATACTCTAACGGAGCACTAACTGCAAGGTAATTGGTTTGATTTGGTAAAAGCTGATGTTAAATCTAATAATTCTCTTATTTCTTTTCCCAGTCTCCTTTGTTCTTGATGTTTCTTGACTGTGTGTGGCAGCTGCTAGAACAGTACCCAGCAGCCTTCGAGTTTTCTGAAATATACTTGACCGTATTGTACGACAGTGCACGTATATCGCTGTTTGGCACTTTCCTTTTCAATTGTCCTCATCAGCGAGTAAAGGAAAGCACTGTGAGTATGAAGTCTTAACACCTGCTTTTCAGATGCAAGATTTCAGCATGCTCTCCTGGAAATAACATCATCCCAACTAAATGGTTATTCCTTGGTATTTTTCAAAATGTCACTCTGTTTGGGGAAAAATATTCAGCTCCCCAGGTGACTATGATCAGAACGTCCGTTCAGGTGATCTTTGCACAGACAGTAACTGTTCGAGAAGAAAGTCTAATGAATGTATTTTTTCTAGAAAAGCATTGTAATTATGCACTATTATTTTTACCCCTTTAGGGAACAGATTTATATCTGGAACTGAGAAAGCAGAATGACAGGCAATAAATTGGATTTCACACTTCAGGCAAACTTTGACATCTCCTGACATAATTTAAATAGTTGGAAAAGACTGCATGAAGTTCAAATAGCAATGCACAATGACAGTATTTAGAAAACTGAATGCTTAAGCTCCAGTTTTTGAAAACAGATTTATCAGAACCGTGTGTAGAAGACATTTCGTGACTGATAAAAGTAAAGCTTATTTTGTTAAATAGCTTCCCTTTAAAGTTGTAGGTAGCTACCTTACAAAGCATTGGTGGACCATTCATGTATTCTCAAAATAACAGTTTCAGGGGTTTAAGAGTAAAGAGTCAATCAATTTAATGTAATTGTGAAGTAATTTTTGCTAATGAAGCATTAGTCCTGCCTCTGCATTGCACAAATGAAGACAGGGTACAGCCACTTTCTCCAGCAGCAGGCTGTCTTGCCTCTTGCTCTGTTGCTTTGATCTGCAGCCACCTCCAAATTACATCTCTGCTCTTTTCTGCCCAACAGTTATGCACCAGTTTAAGATTTGTGAGTAAGCCTATTTTATTTTGGTTTTAATATGCATGAATGTTAACTTCTTGCAGGAATTTGCCATAAGCAAAAACATTCAGCTGGGTGATGAGAAAGGCCTCAGATTTCCTTGTGTTTGGGACTGGTCTCTTCAGTTCACAAGCAGGGATCGCCTGCTCTTTCACAACCCTTTGTATATCGGGAAGAGTGCACCATGTGTACAAAATGGAGCAGTGAAAACTTTTAAACGCTCAAAGGTAACTATAGCGATAAGGTGGTAATGCTTAAAAATCTAGTTATATAGTGTTTTGCACCCTTGGTTTAGCCATAGGAGCATTAATTCTCTTAGTTTTCCAGCTTATCGAAATGATTTTCTATAGAAGTAAAGATGTAAATTGTTGAGCCCCGTGTTCCAGGAAATTTCTTGATGTGGCTGAGCTCACTGCCAACGTTTTTGCATTATTTCACCTATGGAAAAGGGATGACATGCCACTCTTTTTTTTTTCTCTTTCCCCCCAGGGTTGTCAATTTTTTCAGTGAATACTGATAAATTCAATCACCTGCTCTAAGTGATCCTGCTATAGCAGGGGCTTGGACTGGATGATCTTCTGAGGTCCCTTCCAACTCCTGATATTCTGTGATTCTGTGAATCATTCATTGTTTTAGAAAGTCTAGAAAACACACCTATTTCTTTTTAGAGGCCACATATGGCCACAGTGTTTGCCTTGTGAGCCCTGCAGTAGTAACTCACAAGCTCAGAACTGTTAAATTAACTCATTTCTCTAGATGATGCATCCTAGCAGCTCAGGGAAACCTGCTATTCAAGTGAGCATAAAACTGGAAAATTACCAATATTTATTTTCTGCAGAAAAACTACAGTTCCACACTGCGAGGTGTTCCCCCAGCACTAAAAAATGGAATCATCAGTGAGCAAGAGTTCCTTCCAAGAAGAAACTCTCTGATACTAAAAATGAAACCAGAGTTTTTACAGCAAGCAGAAAGTCAGAGTAACAGTATGGAACAGTACTTCAGAGACTGGTTTGCAAAGCCTGTTGATTTGCATGGCGTCATTCTACCCCGTATCTCTGGAACGCAAATAAAACTGTGGAAACTGTGCTACTTCCGTTGGGTTCCTGAGGCACAGATTAATCATGGTGGCTTCATCACTGCTTTTCATAAAGTTTCTTTGCTGGCAGACGAAGTAGACGTGTTAAACCGGAACCTTCGGCAGTACAAAAGCAACTCTTTGCAAGGCAGCTGCTCAGAACTGGATCAAAGCAGGATGTACTTCAGAGCCAATAATATAAATGACACCTCTGGTGCCCCAGACTTTCTCTCCTCCTCATTCCCATTTTCTCCTGTAGGAAACCTATGCAGACGGAGCATTCTGGGAACACCTTTAAGCAAATTTTTAAGTGGTGCCAAAATCTGGCTATCCACTGAGACGCTTGCGAATGAAGACTAAGATGATGTGACGGTTTAAAGGTTTGGGGAGAACACAGCATATAATTTTGTCTTTTCTAAGTTAACACTGCTAAATGCGGCATTGAAAGCTGTAATAATTTTTATATACAAACATTATGTAAGTTTTGCACAAATATTTAAAAGCCAAGAGAGTCATGCTTCAGATGGCAGAGTTTTGTCTTCCGTGGTTCTCATCTACTAGGGCTTCTGGTCCCTGATTCCTTCTGTGTTTTTGTGGTTTGGCTCATATGTGATGGAGCATTTCATTAGTTAATTGAAGGGCTTGATGTGGTCATTAATGAGGGTGCTGCTTGAAATACCTTTTTCCCCAGATAGTGACTGAAGTGACTCTTGTGTCAAAACAGCTAGTTAGGGTGCCGTGGACACAGCTGAAATCTGGGAACAGCTATTTTATTAGATTGCCTTTTCAGGAAGAATACCTATATGCATACATACAAATGTTCTCTGACGTGATCACCCTACATATGTGTTAATGCAGTGTGTATCCATGGGGTATTGTTCCCTTTTTCTCCTCCAAATTTATTCATTAACAGTTAGTCAGATTTGTGCTTTTTGTCATGAGCTTGACGTTAGGCTATAGGAATCGACTTCAGGACAATGCACTGTTAACCTTAAAACATTTTCTGTAGATATGGTATTGTAGTAGCTCTAGAAGTGCCTTTAATTGGGAGGAAACAGTAGCAAGGTTAATCTAATGCAGCTGCCCCCCCACCCCAGCTTTTTACAATAAATTGTTATGGTAAGTTCTTGTTTCACCTCCCCTCTCCATTTCTGGAGATAACAGGCGGCCAGCTCAGGAGTCAGCAGGTTTTTCCTTTTTTAAGATTAAGCCTGTTTGTAAGTCTCATGAGAGCCTTGCTTTTTTTACCTAAGCACCTCAAATACTCAATGGCCAAATCCCTGAGGGGTGCTAGTGCTGTCGTCACTTGTAAGCAGGTGCTGGAAGAAGAGTGGTCAGTGGTGCCTTCTTTTTACATTCGTGCACATCCACATAGACAGTGCAATGGACCAGCACTGCTTAAGGGAGTTAAATCCAACAGCCTCCCTTTGCTCTGAAACCTTTTAAATGATAACTCTCCTCTGTGCCAGAAAAAGCCTTAAGTTTCATAGGGAGTAAGGTAAGAGAGTAAAAGATACTGGGAGAGTGGAGAAATAGTGATGTGTTGTTCTCATAGGTTAAGGCTTCTGTGAACAACCTTCTCTTAACAGCGATGCTGTATATGAACTGATCTGTGTGTAAAACACAAAGGCTATTGAACCAACACTGAGCCTCTGTTCAGGTGTTTGCTCACAAGTTAAGTCACCAGAGGCCTTATATGATAGATAAGAAGCTATTCTCAGCTATCAGGGTGGGGGGGGGAAAGCTGTATGATGATATGTAGTGTATTACAGTTAAAAGAAAAAAGGGAGGAGGGATAAGATCTGATTGTAAAGCAAGACCAGTCTTTAGTGCAGCCTAAATCACAGTGTGGGTTTTGGATGTCTAAGATTGCTCAAGTATTTCTTTTAGAGAATATGCATCTGGAGTGGCCTTATAGGTGCAAGCTTTGTGCAGTGCATACAGGACTCCGTTTTCCCCAGGCTAAACATTACCTGACGTACAGAGCTGCTGGGGGAACTGGGTATGCTGCTTTCTCGCACTGTGGTTGATGGGTTCTGTTTAACCGCAGTTTCATTGCAAAGGTGAGCTAATGGGGGGAGGGCAGACTTTTTTAACTAACCAAACCCCTAGAAAGCTGGTTTTACTGAAAGAAGCGCTCTGTGTGTGTGTGTGTGTGTGCACGTAGATGTGTATGCAGGCACGCATGTGCACGTTACAACACAATACCAGATTGGTTCTGGTCAGCTGTGAGGAAAGTGTGTATTCACCTCAATTGCCTAATTATGCTGCAAAATGGTCTGAGCATGTTAAATGATCCACAAACTAGTTGTTTATTTACAAGCTTGCTGGAGCAGTCATCTAACTGGTTGAAGTCATTACTGAAATGTTTGTATTAGTTTTCTCTTGAGATGTTTTGGGGTTTTTTTTTATTAGCTTACTGCTTTCCCTGGTCTGATACTTGACATGAAAAACCTCAACCTGTGTGCATTGTGTCTTTTGGTAACAATTTTTTTTCTTCTTAAAATTACGGTTAAAACTATGGTGTCTTTTATTTTTTTCTTAATAGTATAACTTTTTTTGTTTAAAGGTATCAAAATGTCAAAAAAACAGGCCACACAGGCAGCTGGTGGAGTTAATTAAAAAAAAAGTTAATGTTTAGGCTAGTACCCTTTGGGGGAACAAATGGGTATTTAAACAAGATTGTCTTTTATAAGAGATTTCAGACATTTTTACATTTCAATTCTAAGATGTGTACAAATGCTGCAGATGGTCTTTGTATTTTATATATATGTACAGCATGGGAGGGGGTTAAAAATAATATGCCTTTATAATAAAATCTGTCTAAATATCTATTTGCCAAACAGACTTAGCAATTTGACACAGTTCAAGAAGGGGAGGCAGGCAAGCAGAGGCTGAGATGGTGACAAGCACAGGGGGAAGAAAGATGGGGACACCTAGCGCAGGGAGGAAGGGGCCTAGCCACGTTTCCCTAGAAATACAGACAAGGTTGTTTCCTTGTGTTCGCACAGGCTCTGCTTTCCGCAGAACCCCTGTGTGTCTGTGTGTGTGTGCACGTGTGTGCCTGTGTATGTTGTTTCTTCCTCTTAAACACTTATTTTGTTAATTTACTTTTGAAAGACAGGTACTAAATATTAAAAATATTCTCCACTCTGCAGTTGCCTTATCAGTAGGGACTGTTCTGAACATCTTTAATAACTTTCAAAAGCAGTTTTGGGGTGCGAGTACATGTCTTTAATTTCCATGTATAGCATTCTGACATAGTGTGTGTGTATATATGTGTCTGTGTATATATATGTACACATTTTCAAATTTTAATTTCTCTACACCATTTAAAACAAGATCCTGTTAATGCCACTTTGGTGTTGCAAGAGTAGGAAAACTACCAAGAAGCTTATCTTTTTGTTTATAGAAAATGTGCACTATTTTGGCTGTCACTGGCTGTTCTATCATGACTTTTGTACTACACTGTAAACCATGTGGGGGGAAAATACCGAGATGCTGGTTGATATGGTAAGTGTACCTCCAGTGTCATTAATTACCTGCGAGATAGAGCATATTGTAGACTTAGTGAACTGTATTCACCATTTACTGCCATGTAAAAAGAAATTTCTTTAATTCCAGAAATGCATTGAAAAGTGTGTTTGTATGTGTGTGTGTAACCAGGCCTGCACACGTGTTCAATGTGCACCTGCCTGCAATACCACTTTGATATTAGCTGCCTTGTATTTCTAATTAAAATGTAGCAAGTGGGGCAAAGGTTTTGGCTTAATCTCAGATGAAAAGACATGAAAACCAAAAAATTTCCAACGTATATTTAAGCAAAGGAGAGAATCTTAAATTTGCCTCTAACATGAGACAGAAATCTGTACCTCAAAGTGCTCTAGGCAGTAGGTTTCTAATGCTGTTGCTGTGATGGTTTAGAGTTCACTATTTCAACTAAACTGAAAACCTTTGTGCCTAATGATTTACTGAGTAAAGTAGCAGTGCCAGGAAGATGGTAAAATCCTGATGCTGAATTCTGAATGTGAAGTAAATTTGACTAAATAAAAACTCATACCTTTCCACAGCGAACTTCAGGTGGTCATCTTTCACTTCTAATTAAAATAAATAAATAAAAATCTCGTGGGGTGTGTGTGTGTTTTCTCCAAGCAAAGCAAGGACACCAGATGTCCCATACACCTCCAGGAATATTCTGCAGTCCATCCCATCTGTTTTGTTTAGTCACATGAAACAAGAAACTTAATCAGATGTTGGTAATTTCCCTGCTACTGTTGCAGGAAAAGTGACTGTATCAGATAAGAGGAACTGTACTTGGGATTAGGGAGAGTTGTGCAGAAGTCCTCACTCAATTCCTTGCTCCCACCACTCATCATCAGTCTTGGCTCTAACTGGTGCTGCTGCTTCTGCCTCCTGAGTGGTCCAGGTATCAGTGATTAACTTTGCCAGTGTCTCTGAGGAAGCTGTATGAAGCTGCTGCAGTCTGGCCTCAATGACATCCCTCCTGTATATAAACATACATTATTTTACTTTTTAAGTAGGCAAAATCTGCATGTAAAATTATGCAAGATCTATGGTACACGGCAGTTTGCACTGACAAAGAACAGCTGTTTTTAACATGACATTCATGCAACTCAAGCATCTTAAAAGAACACCAGTTACTCCACAAGAGTTATTTGTACAAATTCCATTTACAAGTATCTGTGTGGCCTTTGGAGTTACAGCAGTCACCTTCCTGTACCGTCTGTGAGCCTGCAAATCCCAACTTGGAATTCCAAAGGAGTTCCTTCTGCAAACAGTATTCAACTCTATTATTTTCACTTGGTCAGATGAATTCAAGAATCAAGTCGTAAAAGCCATTTCAAAGAATAGCAGTTACTCTGCAGGAAGTGTCCTCTACTTGTCATTGAGTAGCTCTCCAAAATTATTTGCCTAATAAAAAATTTCATCCAATAAATTTTTAATACCTTTGCTTAAGGAACTGAGGATTGAAAACTGTTGTGGGAAGCGCTTCTGTAGCCCCACAAAGCCTGGTGTTCTGGCCTTCAGCAGCTTTCCATCCTAGTCCCCTTGATGTTGATGCAGGAGCCAGCCTTTTACCAGTGTGGAGCTGAGCCAGCAGCAGAGACAATGCGGAGCGAATGTTGGCTTCCTAGAGAAGCACAGAAGCGCAGAGCCCAAGGCTTTGTGGGGCTATGGAAGCTCTTCCCAGGGACGGTGAGGCCCCACAACAGCTTTCAAGTTGACGTAAGATTCTAAAAAATAGTATTAAAACAGAAAAAGTATTCAAAAAAACCCCAGAAACACACAATCATACTCTCCTTATTTCTTACAAGTCTCAACTGTTTATCATTACCTTCCACTAAAGTAACATTAGGAAAGCATACCCACAAGAAGCCACTGAGTGGTAAGTCTCCTGAGAAAAAGCAGCTTTGTCCCTTAAGGGATTTATCAACTTAAATTGCCCATTGGCAATTAGCACTATTCACATAAAACTCTCTAGTTCTCTCTACAGAAGCAATGTAAAAACACATATATATATGTTTAAAAAACCAAACCTGATAATTTGCAGAACTTGGTGAT